TTATTATAACTAACTATGTGAAGACTAATGCTTGACATTAAAAAATAATTAAAATTAAGCATTCATTAACTTAAATTACTATCGTAATGATGTTCTATGCATTTTGTATGTAGATTTTCAATATTGGTAACATTTTTTACTGAGACAATGTTATTATTTTTTTATTGTGTAGTTTTATGAGTGTCTTGAGTAGAGATGTAATTTTATTAGAATTGTAGTTTATGAGAGTCTGAGAGAAAATGGTTGAATTTTTCCCCTAGTTCAGTATTGTATTTTATGTGTTGAGTGGGAAGGGATGTTTATCAGTAGCTTAGTTTGCATCTGAGAAAGGGAAGGAATAGTTTTTTAGTAATATATTTTGAGAGATTGTTTTCATATAGTGTGTTTGAGAGTGAAGTAATGGATTTTTTCTTTCAGTAGTATATAGTGTGTGAGGAAGAAAATATGATATTTCACCCAGTAATTTAAACTAGATCTTCTCGGCTATATTCTTTATGTACACATTAATAAGGGAAGGTATATTTTTGAAATAATGTAGTTTATGTGTATCTGAGGTTAAAGGAAGTTATGTGTGTATTCAGTGAACAGCGGCAGGGATTGATCTATATGTTTGTGGAAACGTGACAGGGATGCAAAATAGAATAGATACCGTGATAAACACTTCTATCAGACAAATCCAGTGTGAATCCTTGCATGCATGCATGTTAGTTCTTTGCATGTATCAATGATTATGCACATCAAATTATATTAACTTTCAGGATGATGAAAATTGACTTGATGCCGACAGAACATATCGAAAAGAATCTAGAATGCCCTCAGCCTGAGATAATCCGTCAAGTCCTTTTTATTCTTGCAGACTAATCTCCGAATGTTGTCTCAAAATATGAATGAGTAACATGAGGTTTTTTTTTTTGTCTCCCGATAAGTGAGACAGGGAGTCATAAGTGGTTTTTGTGTAGTACTTTGTATATAGTACAGATGTTTTTCTTTGCTTCTTTTTTTAACTCATGGTCTAGTGAATTTCGGGTCCATATCTCCGTTCATCCGGCAATGTTTATAAGTGTTTACTGCAACAAACCAGCATGACGAAATTGTCTATATATTTTTTCCCCTCTTGTACTTTCCGTTTTTATTCTGCTAACAAAATTTCTCCTGTGCTTGGTTTTAAAATTAATTTTTAATCGTTTCCTTTTTAACTTTTCGCTTTAAACATCCCTGTTTGTGTGGGCTATTTTTAAAGTAATATTATATCTTTTTTTTACAAAAAATGTTTTTCGTGTTTGAATGCTCTCTGTATTTTTTAACTTAAATCTTGTCACTAAGACTTTCTTTTATCGATTTCCAAATTCGCAGTATTGATCGACACTGCAGGGGAAGTATGTAATGGACGCAATTTAAGACTGCAGGCCTTTGGCAGTCATGTAGGCTATGTCTTTTATTCCTTTCTGTTTGTTTCGTTTACTTTTTTTATTTAATTATTACTCTTAACCATTACTCACATTGCAGTATTTTTTGCCTGGTATTTCTCCACATTTCCCTCATTTTCAAAGTTTTTAATTTTTTTTAGTGTAAACGAGAACTGTTTAAGTTTAAAAAAAAATTTATATTTTACCATTTTTTTCAGATTCAAAACTAAACTATCATGTACTTTTTAATAATCCATCATTTGTCATATATTTGTTCTTAATTTTTATTATATACATTTAAAAAAAAAAATAAATATCCAAATATTTAGGAAAAAAAATCTGAAGAGGTTTAGGAAACCTTAAAAAATAATATTAGAAGAATTAAAACAAATTTTATATCACTACTGTTTATTATAAATTGGTTTGGGTTCTATTTTTAGTTTTCTCATTTTTGGATTTTAACAAAAAGTGCACTTCTATTCGTATCGACTGAAACCAGCACTATTTTTCTGGTGTTCACCATGGTATAGTTAATTTATAATTTATTAACTACATCAATTGTGAGTTTCGAGATGACATTTAGATAAAAAAAGATGTATTGGAATCCATGTCCATTGTCCATAGGAATAAAATATGAAATATATAAATAAATGCTTAATTTAATTACTCTTCAATGCAGTTTTTTTTTCGGATTGTTATTTAAATTGTTTATAATTTTCAGTCACTGCATGAGATGACCCAAAATAATGCATGTGTTTACCAATAACTCATTTTTGTTATCTTTAAATCAAAGAAATATATAATATTAATGTTGTTAATGTTGTATCATCGTTGTTGTCAATTTTTTTTTATTTTTGTAATATATTATTACCATTAGTATTTGTTAGTGGTATATCTTTTATTTCATTGTTTTTTTCATTATTCTTTACCAAATTCTAACATATATTATATAAAGTATATACAAATATATGCTAAGCATCACATTGGAGGGATGTAAATAGACTGAATTGCCGTAATATTTTACCAGTAGTTAGTTTCATCCTTAGCAACACAATAACATTAATTGTGAATAAAAAATTTATTCAATTTTATCCAAACTACAAAATGCAGCCATTGTACTCAATAATCCAAACCTATTATAATGCATAATACAACAAAAGGAATAACCTATATTCGTATCAAAAATCGATGTAGTATTATCGTACTAAAAATATGTAAAATTTGTATGGAAATATACTAATTTTGAGATACTAAAGTTCAGCACACCTTGGTAATTATAGATTTTAAAGTGTAAACAAGTACTTCCGCATAAAATTATGAATTTGTTCGATTTTTATTCATGCATCACAAAAAAAATTACGATTATTAAATTATTTAATTTTTAAATTTTAAAATTATTATTAAAAAATGATTGTATAATAATATAATACAAGATTAATTGTTGTTTTAACAGTAGAGTAAAATTCTTATAGCCTACACCTTCTAATAGGATGTTTTTGTTAAGCAATAGTATTTAAACAATTATTTGGTACTTCAATTTGAATATTGAATAATACTTGGCAAGCCACACCAACAGTAGTGATAACTTGAGGAAAAGGAGTGTTTGAGAGGAAATGGCAAGGTGTGTATAAAAGTCCTGGACATGATACCTCAGCCAAGGTTATAGTGGTCATAAAACTTTATCTTGCATCATTTGTCAATTTTTTTATACTCACCATTATATTATTTTTTATTATATATTTGTATGTCTATTTTATATAATTTAATAAATCTGCATAAAGTAGTACTTAAAAGATATTTCTTAATTAACTTTTGACTTTGTTGTAGTATTTACATTTTATAATTTTTTTTATCTCTTATTTTTATAGAATAAAAAAAATTCATCAAAAAGCTGGTATTTTATACAAAGTTAGTTGTGATATAATTTGCTTTGCATTTAATTACACTCAGAATTGTAATGCACTCAAGTTTTCGATACCCTGCAAGTCCAAGGCTTAGCTGAGCTGATAGAGAGTCACAAATAATTAAGGCCATGCCTCTTGATAATCGATATCCTTTTTGATATATAAGAGAGAGCTGGCCTCTGAATTCCTAGAGACTAAAGAAAATGAAATAAGTACTGTACTTGGGAAATTAGGCAAACACATTGACTAGAGGCGTTTGCAATCAGCTGAATATATTATGATCTACTCTTATAATAGTCGTCAGGGCCAGAGCACGGCTCACATTTCCTCCTAGATAAACTGGTTAAAACCCTTTTACATACTTATTTTTATTTTTTAAAATTTATTTAGCATTCATTCAATTTATTAAAATTCAATTTAACATAAAAATACAAGAAAGAAAAAAACAGCATTATTAAAATTGAAATGTAAAATTAATTAATTGCCTAAAAACATAACGAACGGTGTGAAGGACGATCCATTAAATCAACACAATTTAATTTATTTCCGATGGGGTCCTTGCAAGAAACTGAGGGCTGAATATTAAAACGGTCAGTTTAAATATAGAAAATTGGCAGGAAAAGGGGGAAAAAAACCCAGAAAACAAAAGAAGGAAAAAAGTTAGCATTTAAACAGGAAGATAAAGTAATGTTTTCCTACAAGCTTATTCAGAACTACTGTTTTTCTATATATGGGTAAACTGGTTAAAAAATATATAGATAAACTAGTTTTAACTATAATTTGCCTATATATGTAGATCTCCATTACTGTTTTGATATAGATAAACCTGCTATAAACATTGTTTTCATTCACAATTAGATATTAAACCAGTTATAACCAGTTTCATTATTTTCTTCTTTTTGCAAATATTTCATTCAGTAATTTTTAAAAATTCACTAATATTATACATTTTATAGAATAGTTTAAAAGTAGTAGTTAGTAGGGTTTTTTTTTTGTATTAGATAAAGTATCATTAGCAGGGCCATTTACCAACTGAAAATTACAATACTTAAAACTAATGGTCACTAGTTTGTTTATATAAAAGCATTTTGAATAGCGTTCTATTGATGCATCAGTGAAATGGGATAATTTCCTCTGCTTATCTAAATAAATTTCAGTGGTTGATTTTTTTTTTCTAAAAAGTCAACAGTTGAATGAGGCTTTGATGAGAGGAGGATTAGAAATGGATAAAAAGAAAATTGAATATCTAATACACAAGGGAGTTAAATAATTGTTTGTGTAATAAATAACTGGATATCAATGCAACCTTTTATTCCAAGTTTAATCAAGCTTGCGCCGTTGTAATTCCATTGTTGCGCCTGTAGCTGATTATTATGTAGGTACATAAAGTCTTGACACCTAAAAAAAACGAAGTGTGCCTAATGACCCTGGTGTTCGTAGTTTGAGAAACAAAATAATGTGTTTGATTTTTGGATGTTGTTATTAATTCCTGTCTTCATTTTTTCCTCAAATATTTTATACTTTGCATAAATTTAATCATCAGCACTTTTGACTTGTTTAAAATCAAATTTTGAGAATTGACTTGTATTTTCCCCTTTTTAACCCATCTTCTTTTTTTTCAAATTCAATTTACACAAGTTATAATTAAAGTATAAAATTTGATTAATTTTGTTTCTTTGATTTTTTTCAGAGAGGCACGTGTTGTACGTGATGCCGAGTCAAATAGGTCAAAAGGTTATGGATTTGTAGGATTTGCAACAAAACTCGTAAGTGAACAAAAAAAATACCGCTGATGCTTATATTTTTTTTTATTAGATTTTTACAGTGTATATTATCCTGATATTTGGATATTGGATAATTTGTAAAAAATGTATATTTTCTGCTCCCTGTAGTGAATTCTCTTATGCTAATTCTATTGTAGAGCATGATCAGTTCAAACAACTCCATGTACACCCCCATTTTACAGTGGTGCAGTCCATTATTAGGTCGCTTTGAACCTTTGTGGCTTAAAACCTACTCTTTCACCTACTAGGTACCGTTTATATTCTGGTATTGGATAGAGATAATTATTATAGATAATGTTTTGCGCAATCGACAAAAGCGATATGACCAAAGTCAGTTTTAAACTCGCTTCATAGTTCTTATTGCCTGCAAACCTATTGATTCTAATGCTGAGACTATAAAACCTACGCTATAGAGACGTTATGCCTGTGAATATGAGATCCAGATTATTAACAATAAGTGTAATTATTATGCAGAAAAAAGTAATGGTATTATAATGATAAGCCTGGTTCAATAGTAATTGTAATAATGGCCCTAGCAGTAACAACGCAATATTTCCAGCACAAACGTTGTCAGTTTCATAACAACAATATTAAAATGCTTGTACGCCTACCATCACACGCATAGTAAGTGTGATGAGTTAGACAAGGTGATAGGTAAGAAAACCAAGGGAAGTTAATTTGTATACTAGTCCATCTTTGCACAGTAGATGATGATTAAGACAGTAACGGTTTCTGAAAGTGTTCTAAATCTCTCGCGGTAAATTGAACTAGGCCAGTGCACGAAAGGTTTGCCCCTATAGGTATACAACAGCGTAAGTTCGTATTAAACTAGCTTCTTTCGGCTAATCACAGAAAGTATTTACCATGTTGGAAGGGAAGTATTTCGTATATGACATATAGTTTATAGCTACACACTTTGCTAGGTGAAACTTGTTGTAGTTGAGGTCTGTGCACTGGCTCTTGGGATGGTCAGTAATAGATAATTTAATAGATACATGCAATATATGGATGCTGGTGATGTATACTAAATATAGCATTTGATTAGTTTCTGATGATAGCTAACCGCAGACAGATATTTTTTAACCAGGAATATAAATTAATTCATACAAGTGATATCAAGATCAGCAGGGTTGCAGTACACATCTTCAAAGAAAGAAGTGTTACTAAATGTTCTTTGCTTACTATTCCATTATTATTTTTCATTTTGCAGGAAGCAGAGACAGCGATGACGATGATGAGTAACAAATTACTGGGAACCAAATGCATCCGAACTAACTGGGCCGCACGGAAGATGCAACCACAGACAAAACCAGAAGGTTTGTATTTAGCCCAAAAAAAAAACCCTTATCTGTTGCACAATTTTCTCAATGTCTGTTTCGCATTTTTTAATATCTACTTTTGACCATATCATTTTGTGTGATTTTAGTCAGTAAGGAAAGTTGAGAAGTTGCACAATGCTGACCAATCAAAAATCTTTAAAATTTAGGGTTGAGTAATTTTTTTTTTTTTTCAAAATGAAAACACTTGTGTTGTTTAAAAATTCCTCTTTTTTGAGCTTGTGTTAATAAAGTGGCGACCTAAACCATTGATTTTAGTCCTGTTGTTTATCATTTTGCAAACCAAAATAAATGAAGTGTGTGGTGGTTAGCAGTGAATCGTACAACTTGCCAATATATTCAAAATTGCTGACCGACCAATCTCAATTTTCTTATCTGGAGATTTTATGGTGGCAGTATGGATGGTAAAATTGCATTATTTTTTTTTTTAAATTTACATTTCTTCACAACGGCGGATGTGCTAACAGTCCAAAATAGTTTTTTTAGACATACTGTAAGTAATTATTGTTTGTTCACAAAACCAAAACTCTTTTGACAAAACACAGTATAATAAAAGTAATATTCATAAAACAAGAAAAACAAGTGTAATGTCACAGCCTTTTCCTCAAATTGTACCCTCATCAATGGGTAATCAAATATAATTGCATTGGATCTGGCATTATTACAGATGCATTCTGGTATAGAAGGTGAACTCGACCTCTTTGCTTGATATTTTCTTTAGCATATCACTGGTATCTGTAAACACGTTGACTGTGAAATCACCATTAAATATGAATTGGAAACTTCATTAGTTAATTAATTAGATTGAATTCTTGCTTAATTAGATTAATTAAGATTGTCATTTTTTTTCCCTTTCACCTGTAGTGCTTAAGAAGAATTATGAAGAAGTAGTGATGCAAGCCACGGCTACTAACTGTACTGTATATGTCGGTAGTTTAATCAAAGATATAACAGGTATGATGAACATGAGTAATTGCCTAATCAATCATGGTCCTAATATATGTTAGATATTATGTAGGTAGTGATGGCAATGGACTTGATGATGTATGAGATGGAAATGTTTTTCTGATGTGGTAATATTACTGATACAGGGTGTGGAAGGATGCTGGCCTTAGTAGTAGAAGGAGATGATGATAATGAAGGTGGTGTTACTGTGGAATGTATGGAAAGATGTTGCTTTAGTGGTAATATTGATCTTAATTATAATGGTAGTGATGACGATAATAAGCCCAAATAAAAAAAAATATTGTGTTGCCCAACTGAACCAAAATGTATGAAATTGAGGTTCGACATTTTAGGGTTCTTTTTGTTTTGTTTTTGTTTTTGTTATTGAGATAAAGGGGCTGGAATAAGCCCATCTTGCTGGACAGTAGGTGATGCGACAGTGTTATGCGATCATTTTGCTCTTCAATATAGATCTTAAAATTATTGGTTTTAAAAAAATGTGGCCAACACTGGGATTTTTTTTGTTTTTGTTTGTTTGTTTGTTTGGTTTTTTTTGCCTAATAATGATGTTGAAAATGTTTATTGATGCTGTGATGATGATCAAGTATATAAAGAGATTGGTGTATTAATCATTATTGAAATTAAATTTTTTAGTGGTCTGTATCTGTTTTAAAAAAAATCGCACTAAAACACACATGGCTGAAACAAATAAATACTGATCTGAAACCCATAGATAAAACTTTAAATACACTAACGCATGATGATTATAATAGGACAAACTGGCGACGCACCGTTGTAAGGCTCATGGCTTGAATAAGCCGTATCGGCCCAGAGAGAGAGAGGCATCTGTTACAAAAGTAATTTCAACTTTGTTTATACTGTTGTCAAAAAGGAAAAAATTTTTGCTATAGAGAACTCTACTACTGTAATACTAATACTGTGTGATACTACTCCGTTGCTAACGTTGGAAAAAGCGTTCAACCGGGTGCTATTTTCTTCACTGACAAACCATTGATCCCAATTTCTAATGTAATTATTAGGATGTTGTATCTTACTTTTTCTTTTTAAATTTTAATTGATTAAAAGTGTGTTTGATAACTAATATAATGCAAGCTTTTGTGTTTTTAGTACATTTTGATGGTAAAATATTAGATTACAAAATGCCTATTTCAGAAAGTCTATGAAGTCATTAGGGCGTAATAAACAGTAACCAATGTCTGTTGACAACAGAGAGTGCCACCTGGTGTTGTGACGACACGACTGGTACTCTATACATGTGGTCTGATCATTTAACATAAAGTTACCTTTAGGAAATTATAGCTAGATATGAATTGCTTGTTATTATTAAGAGTTACTATAATCTATTTACTAAATATTCATATATTTAAAAAAAATTTAGATGCAGTATTAAGATCATACTTTGAAGGCTATGGCACCATCCAAGAAGTTCGAGTATTTCCAGACAAAGGTTACGGATTTGTCAAGTAAGTTTTCCTGACTTTTCCAAAAACATGTATGTTACTTAAGTGTTGTTGAGGTAATTTGCCTGGTGAAAAGGTCAGGAAAATAACATTTCCTGGTTAGTTAAAGTTAGGAAAATAAAAATTGTTGCCATAAGAACAAACAATTGGGAAATATAGATAGGATTTATAATTGTACCGAGAATGTTTTATTCAAAATTTTTCTACGTACAGTATGATTCCAATGTTCTTCAATGTTTAATTGCAAGACCTCTGTAGTCTTCGAAAATATTGACATGCTCCGCTTAGATTTGCTGGGATTTGATTATAGCCATATTTTTATGCACTTAATGTCGGATTTACATTGTGCTCATATCCATTACAAAAAGTTATGCTCATGGCACTGACCGTTAATCCACTCTACCGAGGACGTGAAAACATCCTGATTTCTCCGTCATTTGCCTATGATGCAGCATGTCATCGTCTCCCATTGACCTGTTATATATGTGCTGTATATTTTTAATGTAAAGTCAGATATATATAATATAGCGTACATATCCATTTCAGGAAGACTTGCTTGAGGCATTTTTGTCCCTCGTCATTTGATACAGAATCAATCTTGGAACAATTCTCCATAGTATTACGGGACGTACATTTAAGACAGATCAATAGCATTATAAAGCATTCACCTCCTGCCAGCTACCCATTTATACCTATGGGTCGAATGGAGATAGAAAGACATTTATTTTTATTTATTTAATAGGATTTATATAGCACACATCCAGAAAACCTGCTCAATGCGGTGGTTTTTTTTGTTTTTTTTCCCTCCCTCTGGTCTTTGGATACAGAATCAATCATACACGACATGTAACCTTCTCTGCTCCCTAAAGATAAAGTGTCTTTCCCAATCAGATGAGGAATATAACTGGTTGGTTTGACCTTTGCGATAGAAATGTCAAATCAATACTGCTGCACCACACTTCTGCATGCCACTCTATTGGAATCTTCACAATGTATATTTGTATTAATATTTACAATTGACAGATGTTCTACACAAATATTGTGTATTTTTATTTATTTATTTAATAATGCGGTGGCTAGGGTTGACATTTTAATTAATGTGCATTTCTTTTTTCTCTCCGTAGAATGGATACACATGAAAATGCAGCTGCTGCTATTACCAATCTCCATGGAACGAGTATAATGGGAACAACCATTAAATGCAATTGGGGCAAAGAAACTCCAACTGACCCCAATGCCATGTATGCGGTACCAGTAAGTGACACTCCATTTCATCCTTTGTTTGTTTATTAATTTTTTATTTTTAACCCAAACAAGTAAAAATATACAACTTTATCTCATAAAGAGGCATGGATAATGAAGAAATTCCCTGGCATTAAACAGGATTTGAACATAGATTAATATTTTGGAAAATGAATGCTATTGACACCACAGCGCAAACTCCATTAACAAGTAATACTATGCTACATTAAAAAGTCATCATCTTTAGATACACATATCTTCTAATTGCTGAACAGCCCATTAGTAGATGCATATTACACCTATACCAAATATTCATTATAGAAAAAAAAATCTTGTGTATAAATTTGTCATTGTTGATATTGTGTAACCTGATTGTATTACATTTAACTGATTGTGTAAGAATGATGAACCTTTAATGATGAATCTGCAGTTGCTCCGAGTCTGATCAGCAGGTAGTTTTACTGCTAATACTACGTAATATCTAAGTAACAATTTAACGACCTCAAGTAAACTAATGCCAATCACTAACTCATCATGGAGAATACATGCATTATAGATTTTTATGTTCCGCTAATATTTTCGGTTGCATGCAGTACATTAAAATTAAACTGATAATGAGACAGGTTGCTAGGAAACTCGCTGTTGCTCGGGAAACTACACGACCTGTTTTGTAACAAAGGAAATTTGAATTTCTTATTAATATCTAATAAAAAGACACACACCATAGGAATTTTCTCATAAATTATGAATTTTATCGAATATAATAACCAAACCTAAAATTAAGCTAAGAACGTTTATCTCATTTTATTATTTTGGTGAATTTCGTGCACTTAGTATTCTGCATGCTAAATTTGTAACTAATTGAAGAAAAAAGAAAACCATAGTAGGTATTATAGTTAGTCTTTGGAAATGAAATTTGAATAGGAAGTATATGTTGGAGGGATTACTAAATGATGTAGCTCTTGACTGAAGAGATAATACGTGCTTGTTATTGTTGTTTCACTCTATAGATAGGGAAGCTCTATATTTTTTCCTTTGGTTTTACTAAAGGAATTTGTTTACCTCTTCTTTTTCAGCAACAACAGCAACAGTACTCTAATTACTACGCTTATCCTCAACAACAGCAACAACAATATGTAGCCAATCAATATTTCTATCAAGCACAGCCATATCAAAGGTAAGAGTAACAGTGATGATAATGAGGGTGTTGTTTTTTAGGGGGTGGGGTATAAGTCCACACTAACTTTACAAATTCCAAAATACATTATTATCCAAGGAGAAAATTAATTTGGTCATTGGGTTATTCTAAAAATAATATACATTGAATAACAAAATATATAAAATAGTTAAAAGTTAACATGTATAAATTAATAAATAAAATAAGAAAATGTTCTTTTCCCCTGTATAAGCCTATCCCTGGTTTGTCTGACCTTAGGAACGATATCCTAGGAACTGGATTTAAGAAATGATCCATTCTGAAATTCATTCTGAAACCGTACATTTAACTGTAGGCCAACTATTTTCTGCAGTTTGTGGTCCTATGGTTTATAAAACAATGTGCACAACATGGTTCACATGAAATTTGGTTTCAAGATGCTTAAATGGATACATTGATACAAGTACAAATAAGATCCTTAACTACAGCACATAAATCAAGACATATTGCAAAACAGTGATAAAACTACTCCCAAACCCAATATGTTGTTTAACGTTGGTTGGGGGGGGGGGGAGATGTGTGCATTTACCCAATAAACTATGCTATAATATACATTGGGGGTGGGGGATGTGTGCATTTACCCAATAAACTATGTTATAATATACATTGACAACACAAGCTTCCATGTATAGCGTATGCTTTTAGATGAATAATAATATTATATATTGAAATACATTCTTTGCTTTGGATAAATGCCTTCCTTGAATTAACTCTGTGACTGGAACATAATTTGTCCTAAACGCCACCTTCATAATATTCCCTCTCATCCCAAAAGACAATTAACAAACAACAACTACTGAAGCGACAAGGAAAATTTCTTCTCAACACATAATTTATAACATGTTCTACTCTAGTAGGATTTAATGACTCATAGATTGGGATCCTGTTTTGATCTCAGTAATTTCATGTTGTAATTTTCCATTTCTAACCATCTGAAAGCATGTTTATTTATATTACATACATTTTACAATCAAAAAAATTCCTCCGAGTAAACACATCCTTCGAATTCTCCCTCAAAAAGACTTGTGAGTGCCATAGGGTAGGGTGTTCATATACAATTTTGATTTTTTTTTTCTTATGATCAATTTTTTTTGGCCTATTTTAAATAGGAATTTGGTTTTCCCAGCCTGCTGTATATTTATCACACTGAATGTTCAGTACATTTCAAGTACATTGCAAGTGGTTTAGGTGGGAATTAAAACCCATAACCTTCAAAGTTGTGCTGGTGACTAGGGTTGAAATTGATCCCCAAATAGTTGTGGATACTGTAGTGTGTAGTGTGTTACTGCAGAATTTGGTCATTTAGGAATGTGGTGGAGGTACATTCTTCTTCCTTAAGGAAGTTTGTGCCCCCCTCTCAGTTTACCCCCAGTGGCAATAAGTTTAGCGGAAAAAAAACAAAAACAATAATGTCACCTCATTATGTCCGCTACCTCCTCTTTTTCATATGCCAATGTTGAGCTTATCTTGCAACAGGTTTTATATTAATCTGACATTAATGCTTGGTCCTCAGGGCCTGTTGAAAAAATGTTTGCTTTAACAGTTCTATTTCCTGCGTATAGCTTTGCTGCAGCACTTACTTAAATTACTTCTACCAATATTGTCATTGCTGGATGCTGGAATTTTAGTCCTTTTGCATCCAGCATCAAAAACACTCACCAATTAAGGCAAAAACTATGTATATATGAATGCCCTGTGTTTTTATGACATATTTAAAGAAGGTTGCAGAAATTGGAGGCACTGGGGTTTGAGAAGCTGGGACAATATATTGGGGTAAAAGGTTTCTGACTGGGGTCTTTTATTATTATTATTATTATTGTTGTTATTCAGTGTCTGATTTATATCCTGCAATGTCATGGATAATATTTTATAAAATTGTATATTACTTTAAATCTTACGTTTTCTAAATATTTGTTTACTTTTTAGCGGTGCGTCAGCAGCTAACTTGCAGTATATGCCTCCTAACTACCAAAGTGCGGCAGCCATGCAAGGACAGTCCTACGGTGGTGGTATGCCAGCAGCCGGTAATTTTGGATCTGGCGCTGGTATGATGGGTCAAGGCAGCATGATGAACCCGAATGGGCAGTTCATGTAGAGACTGGAGAACTGGTAGAAAGGATCCGCTAGAATGACACAAAGAGGGCACTGTCTGCCTTTTGGGATGCAAGTAATTAAACCACACTACATGCAATGTTCGGCATATATGGGAAATGGCCATTGCCTAATTTGCTATGTATTGAGGGAAAAAATATATACATCTCAGATATCATGCAGTATCAACAACAAAGGGGAAAAATATTAAACAAAACTATAACAAAAAAATTCACCTGTTTGAATCACACTTAGTGGTGGAGTTTGATAAAATCAAGCCACCTGATTGGTCAATTAGGTACGTTGACGTGCACATGGTTTCAAACAGTTTATGTAAAATTAATGTAGTTGGAGTAAGATATGATGAAAGCATATCCAGTAACCTGGAGTGAAGTTGGCATACACATGATCCAGTTAAGTGGTTTTTGTGTGTGTGTGTGTGTGCGTGTGCGTGTGTGTGTACATATAATATGATAGGGAAATCGATCAATATCAGGGACATATTTTTGTGAGATGCACACGAAAAGGACATGACTAGCAGTGGCCAGTCTTTTTCTATAGTGCTGTTGCATGGTTAGGAGGCGATTAGTGCTGAACTTTGCCCTCTGATTTATGACCTATTGTTATCCCTTGATTCAGAATGCATTTGTAAATCAGCGCTTTTTTTTGTAAATTTGTTGTTGTATAGGTTATGAGGTGATAAGTTCTGAACTTTGCCCTCTGGCTTATGACCTGTTGATTACGCAATGTCCTTTTTCTACATAAGCTCAATGTTATTTTCAGATGTTTCGTTTGTTTAGTTTCCACGCTAAGCAATATTAAACCCTGTTGTTGCTACATCTTGTTTTACTGGTTGAAACAGAACCTCGATTGAAGATTTTTTGTGCAACGAAAATAGTTGCTCACCCATCTACTAAACAGATGTGTTTGTAAGTAAATGTTTGTTTGCAGTCCAAACACATGTTTACTTGCCACTATCCCAAAAAAAATTTTTTTTTGTAGTTGAGATCGGTAAATTAAGATTGCTGTAACAAGTGCAACCATTCTTTCTTAGGTTGGTGTCAGCCTTTTGGTTGGTATTGTATAGTTTTTGTCCGTGGTATACAAGTCACCACTTTAACAGGCGCTGCAATTAAACCTGCGGCACCGCAGACTTGCGTTTCAACATTTTTAGCAAAAGTCCTTCGAAATTTATTTGTACCTAACGCTGCAATATCATGTATAATCCGAATCCGATATATACCATTTTTTTTCAGGGGATTTTTTTTACATGGAAATGTGGTTACTATCTGTTTTTGTGAATACAATATGGGGTTTTTCCTAAGGTTCTTGGTGTATTGTACATAAGAACTTTGTGAACAGCCCATGTAAAGTTGTTAAGTGTTGCAGAGTTGCCAACAAGTTATAACATGTCCAGTGGACGAGCTTAATAGTATAGATAACATATTCAAAGCATAGATACATAATTAAAAAAAAATGTTAAATAAGCATCATGAGTTATATAACAGTTTAGATGGGTACGTTTTGATTTTAAGTTAACATTGATAATAGAATTTAATTTCACTTTAAATTAATAGTGTGGAACATTGCACCCAAGTGTCTTACTACTGTAATAGTGTTTGTCATGGCTTTGTAAATAATTATTTTGGGTTGAAAGTTTTGGAAAACATATATTAGATAGGGTTGGAGTTAGATTCTTGGATACGGTACTACTCTGTAATATTAATAGTAATAGAACAAGGGAGAAATATTTGCCAAAATAATAGAGAAGAAATAGAGTGATATTCTCTTGAGATTTTGTTTTGTCCTTTGAATGAGTTTGTATGGCAGCTGTTCTATACCGCTTTGCCTTTTTTCCAGGAACGGTTGTAAATGATTTGATTGCATGATTGATTTAAGAAGTTGGACGGCGACATGATCTTAAACATTTCTGGCTTATAAGCCCTGGGAATGGAATAAAAAAAAAAAAAAATACATCGCGGGTGTGTGGGATTTCGTTCTTAGTGTTTTTGTAATGTGTAATTTGGGATGAAAATGTAAGAAAATCAACATTCCTATTCAGAAGATTAAATATTGTAGTAACCTTCGTTTACAGTTAATTTGTGTGTAGGTTGCATTGACATCAAAATTAAATGAATTTTTTTTTTTTCTAAATTGTTTTGTGGTAATAACGTGTAGACCAGTGCCAAGTACGCTATTGCAAACTATAGTGCAATCTAGCTTAGAGGTAGCACGGTCTTAATTAATTCAGCTAGTTTATAAGATGATGACGATGAATATGTAACCAAAAATAGAACCCTGTATAATACATATCCTCATTATTAAAAGAAATATTTTGTACAGTCATTTTCTTCATAAATTTTCAATTTTTATTGATTTTTTTCCTCAAAATTATGAACTGTAACAAGTTTTTGAATGCAAGCATTGTTAATCTTAATCTATGTTGTAACTATGGTGTCAATTATTTTCATTTTATTCTGTGTCTGATATGCAAAGAATCAAGACAATCCCAAACTATTATTTTAATTAGTCTAGATAAAATGGTAAATCGTGTTGTATGATAGAATAGTCTTTTACAGTGACAATTATCTTAATAGAAACCTTAGCTAGCCCATGTTTTTGTGTGTATGTGTTTTTGTGTGAAAAATGTACAGTTATTACACCATAAGATATTGTAAGATACTGTGACATATTATATAATCATTTTTCAAAAACTTGTTACAGACAAAATATTTTTCGTAGAGATTTTTGCACATCAAATTATTCTTTTTTTAAATGGACTGAAACAAATGCTTAATTAAAATCTTTTGATTAATTTCTGTTCACGTTTTGTTGTTAAAAAGAGAAATATATGAGGTTGTGCTATTTTGGAAAAAAAAAATAAACAGATTGTAAAGAAATTGATGTCAAAAAGGAAGGATATAGAATCCTTAATTGCAATGCTAGGTGTTTTCTGATAAAAAGTAGTGTTTTTCAGTGATCTGTTTTTAGAATTGGTATACTAGTGTACAGAAGCAACAACCATTCAATGTCCTAAAAAGACGAGCAAGTTAGATAGTAGTGTTGGCTCGAAATTCTGTTAATCCTCAACCTAGGGAGCCATGTAGAAAGTAGGGGAAAATGAAAATAAAACACCATTTCTATATGAGAATTAATGACTTATTGTTTCTTCATTTTTATTTATGTGCTATATATTCATTCTTATTTAATAAATAATACAAATCATGGCCTACCTAAAATCTAGAAATGTTTGTGGTCGATGGCACCTGGAGATATGTGACAGTAAAGTTAACAAACTTGCCCATAAGGTACCGGTGTAAATACTGTATTTATTCGAATTGGCGCCCCGCTTTGAATAAAATCCCCCTTAGATTAGTGCCCAATTTGCGTGCCTAAAAAGTTCTACACGAGAAACATGCCCATAAGGTACCGGTATAAATACTGTATTTATTCGAATTAACACCCGCTTTGAATAGATTCCCCCTTAGATTAGTGCCCAATTTGCAATAAACACCATGAGGCGTTTATTTCTTCATCAAATAAACACCTCTAAATGACTAAACAAATCTAATGGGATCAACATCATTCTCAACACATTCTATTAATGCTCTACTCCAGTAGAATTACATTTTTTCTGACCTGTTTGGAATCAATAAGTATTTATGATGCAATAGCCCTGTTTGACGGTAATTATGTGTTGTAGTTCACATTTAAAGTGAAATTAAGGGGCGTTATACGTATCCATTTTACACCAAAAAAAATAAACGCCTCCCTCGAATAAGCGCGTTTATTCGAATAAATACGGTGTATTATAGTACCCAAGAGATTTATGCAGGTGTAATTCTAATTCTAGTTGTAAGGAATTAACTTCAAATTCATATTACAGTAAATGCAGAGTTGAATTAATTGGCTTTATAAAAATATTTAGGCAGCTTCAACCAGTTACAAGAGCTTCCCCTATCTTGTATTTTCTTCCTAACCCCATTCATCATAACTATCATTTTCAATGCTAATTTTTTTCCCCAGCAAGAATAATGTGAATTATTCATGCGTTTAATTTCCGACAAAATTATGGAATTTGGCAACCGACGGTCGACCTTGGGTTAAACACCTTTCAAACACTCAGACATCAATGTGCAAGTCTTCGGATTTATAAATCATTAAGACGATAATTAGATCTGTCAATCTGTTGAATTATTATCCTAATATATAAGAGGTGACCTAATAATATAAGGGGTGATAGATATATTACTAGGTATAGGGGCTTTTACTGTCCGGGTTAAAAAAAACTGGGGGAACTGCCTGAAAGGTCCCACGAACAAGGGACGTTGATTTTGTATAATACTAAATTTAGCCTCTGAATATAGATCAGTTATTGACAGCCATTGACTAAACGATCTATTTAGCATATTACATCTCATAATTTTTATATTAGGTCTATATAGTGAATACATTTTAATTGAGAGTATTTAGTCGTTATCTTAGGAAAATCCCTACTAATTGAACTATTTTAAGAAACGTGTGGTCGTCCATTCCTTTTCTTCCAGTTAGGCTGAGTTTTTTTTCCCCATTTTTTTTCATTCATTTTGTTCATGTTTTCCTTATATTAGTGATAATTATTGATATTAAATAGGCTTAAAGTAGGTAGGTCCCAACATCCTTATCACGTACATGCATTCAGTCTGGAATTTGATGACTGATTAAAAGGAATGTGACTAATACAAAATTATATTTAATTATTAAATTGAATTTTCGAACTATTATTAAACTCTTGGCATATCCATTATTTTTCTAAATATTTTTATTCAAGATCACAACAGAATAATAGGCGCGGCTCGCAGTGGGCGCATGCGTCCACTGCTGAATAATAGGCTGTTCATTAAATAGAAAAATTACATCAAACACTATATAAATTTTATTGACGAAGACAGCGAAATAATCTTGATATTGCAATTCCTAAACACTAATTTGCTTCTGGAGAAAACTTTTATGAGTTTGATAACCTCTAAGCTAAAGAAGAAATGTTGTTTTATAATTTTAAGCAGCAGAAATGAAATTAAGAAATAGTTGTACCAATGTTAGTTCGATACAAAATTTAACCAGATTAATTAACAACAATGGACCAATCAAAGCTAGGAATTCACGCAGTCCCGCAAACATGCAAGTTCAACGTAGGCGTACGTCCGGTGTCGTTTTTGTGGCCCTTATTGCAACAAGGGGAAGGATTCAGAACGATTTATTAACTAATAATGATCTATTTTAAAGTATTGAACGGCAACGTGACACCTATCTTATCGATCCTTGGATTGAATTTTCATCATCATTTATCAGTGGCGTATCTAGAAGTTGAAATGTGGGGATGATGCGAAAGTGAAGTGTGGGAGGCTTGATGGTCAGTTGAGGGGTGCCACTAGATACGCCACTGTCATATATCATTTTCATTCGCTGTCAGTTCTATGGCATTTTTCAAAATAAAAAAAAAACCTGCTTGAAAAATATCGGTACATAAAAGGCGCAAAAATAATTTCATGTAGGTCTGACAGGATGAATATATTCCCATTACTCCACACTCTAAGGCATGATGCACCCATGGAGCAATTGAGGTTGTAACAAAATATTGTATGATGTTATAGTTAACCTATAATATGGCAGCATCTTGCACGTGCTGATGATGAAACAGATGCGAACTTCAGCCCATCAGCATATTCGTTAAAGGTAACCCGGTTCTCCATCATTATCTTCGGTCCTTTTACTTAATTTAAAATCCAGAGGCAGAGTATTCGAACGAGCTTCAAACTTAAGACGAGCACCTTTAAAATTGGTTTGGTCAAGTAAGTGGTTTTCAAGACAAGGTTCAGATTTTAACTTTGTGTAATAGGTTAAAGAAGATTTACTATTAAGGTCTTCTAACCATTTTTTGTTACCATTTTCTAGTAAGATTTGTTTCAATGGCACAAACCAATTTGGATTATCAACATTTGAACTATGAGTAATGTTAGTAAAAGTGTCCACATTTTCTGAGGTACGAAAAGAATTTTCTACGGACTTAATAAAATTTGTAACGCAATTTCAGGGTCTGAATGTAAATTAATAAGTGATTTTAATCATTAAGTTAGGCCATCGCTCATCATTCATTGTGAGTAAGCAGTCAAAATATTCCATTCTTGAAATATTGTGGGTTAAGGATAATGGCGTCCAACCTAAATCTCCATATAATGCCGCTTGTGGTGTATAAGTTGGTGCTTTCAAAATATATCTTGCCATCTGCATTTGAATTCGTTCTAACCTCTCCATATCTGAATTCGAACCACAATTCCAAATAGAACAAGCATAATTAATCGATGGCAAGACAATTGTTTGCCATAGAATATTACCATAATACACTCAATTGAAATCCCCAAAATTATCAATTAGGGGTTTAACATATGAGACTAACCTATTACCTTTTTTTAATGACATGTTTAATATGTGTATGCTCATATAAGTGTCTTGAAATATAGACTCCAAGGTATTGATAATTATCTATTTCGGTAATATAATGATTGCCAAGAGACCATCGTTTAAATTTATCAGTTCTTTTCCCAAAAATAAGGACTTTCAATTTTACGTAATTAAAATTGATTTTCCAATCATCAGAAAAATCTCCGGCTAATTACAGCATCTTCTTAAGATCATGTTCACTATTGGCAATCAGGATGATACCATCAGCCCAGAAAAGGCTACCTGTTGATTTTAACCCCAACATTGTTTGACTCAAGAACCTTTCTGAGTTCATTTATAAATATTGAAAAGAGTGTAGGGGATAGGGTACATCCCTGTTTGATACCTTTTTCAATTAAAAATGAATCAGTGGAAATATCCCCAAACCGTACCTGGCCTTCAAAATTTGGATACAATTTATCAATGGGTCTCGAAGCTTTACCTCTTATTCCAGTATTTCAGACTGCCTTCAATAGGCCGTCTCTCCATACACTATCAAATGCCAATCTGTAAGCAACAATACTTTTTAAAGTAAAAATATGGTCCTCACATCTATGTTGAGACCGAAAGCTTCCCTGCACTTCAGATAGTACATTTTCCTCTTCCAGAAAATTATTTACTGAAAAAGCAATAATTTTATTGAAAATTCTAGACACATGAGGTCAAGAATATTCATCTGTAAGTATCTAAATCTAATCTACTGCCTTTTTAAATTATAGGAATAATAATAGATTTATTCCATTCAGTTGGAATTTCCTCCAACTGCATAATTTTGTTGAAACATATGAAAAAGTGATAAATCCAAATAATCGCCACCATTCTTCAAAAGTTCATTTGTTGATACCATCATGGCCTGGTGCCTTATTAGTTTTGGCTTGTGCCAGAGCAAGTGAAACAATATCTTTCAATTCAATATCTTGTAAAAAATTAAGATCGATGCCACCAGTAGGCTCAGTTGTAGTGTCTGCAGTGTTAGACTTAAATCATTACGAATATTCTGAATAAATGTAGAGGTATTAAATGATATGCAATCAGATATATTCATATGCCTTTTTCCTATTGTTTCCCAATATTGTTTCACAGTTTAATTTTATTTTCTTCGACAATAATTTCATTTGACAAGGATGATCTTATACAATCGACAGCTTGATCTTTATGCTTTGGACCTCTAAGAGCCTCCCAGAAATCCTTACAAATTGGTTCACCTACATTGCAGTGTAACCCCTCTATCTATATTCTTTGGTGTAACTTAACCACTACGCGATTTTTTAAAAACCAGACTTTGGATGGAGAAAGAGGAGAAGTTTAGTTAAATAGGCTTAAGTGAGTATTTTCAGTGTCGAAATAACCATCACAATAACTACCGTATTTTGAGGCGTAATATCAACCGTCTTAAAAACGAGGACCATTCGGCAATTTTGTTTTCCCATGTTCATGCAATTCGAGAATTTAACACAAATATAAACAAATGGACTATCATCCAAGCGTAAATGTAACAAAAATGGTAATGTAATTTCGAGGACGACTTTGCATGTACTGGGATTATGAGGACTTGCCTCATTTATTCTGTTTTATACGTTCGCGTTCTAACGAAACTGACCAAAACAGATGAAAAAAATAATTGAGACAGACAGAATACTTTGTATACTCATGTATAGGTCTATAGGCCTGTATT